GTCCACACTACGCCGGAGAAATTTGAAAACGCACACAGCTTTATTTCTACGGTTAGGCCTACGGTCGAGAGTAATCCGTCACGAAAACAGAGCTTTTCGAAAACGCTCTTCAAACCGGAGGAATTTGAAAACGCTGGCTTTGAGTTTTCTTGTGGACGGAAAACGTATTAAAACAGACCTTTTCGAACACGATAGCGTGAGGAGAATCACGTGATTTCCCTGGCCGAGATTTCCTCAAACAAGGATATAAAACAACCGGTGATTGTTGTGTTTTTAAATTGCTTCAGTGTAGTGTGGACGGCCGGGCCTAAGCTTCCTAGGCTTCTAATGAAGTCAATAATCAGAAAGCGTTCTTCAATGAGTCCACAGAGGAAAAAATCGGAGGTCCCGCGCAAAGGAGAAATGCATCATAAATAAACACCGCAAACAAAATAAAAATTTAGGAGTGGAACTCTTTAAGGACCTCTATCAAGTTTAATATTAGTTATATGTTACCAGTGTTATAACGAAGGCTAACCCAAATATTTTCACTCTACTGTATAGACAGCTGAAGACAGACGGCAAAAATTTCATTTTTGCCGTTTGCCGTTTGACGTAACGTCATGCTTATTCTCTCTATTACATGGTTCCAAGTTTAGCGAAAGATCCAGATCAAGTGGTAATCCACATCGGAACAAACGACTTTAGTCGTGATCCTCGCTCAGTAGCAGACAACATCATAGAATTAGCAAATGAAGCTGAAGGCTCAGCTAAAAAACGCAAGGTTTCGTTTCCAGCATCATTTGTCGTCGTGATTCCACACTCAAAAACAAAGTGAGACAGGTAAACAACTTGTTGAGCTCGTCGTGTCATCAATATTCTTGGTCTTTCATCGATTATTCAAACATTTTAGATAACCATCGTAATGACGATGGTATTCACTTGAACGGAAAGGGCACAGCTCTCTTAGTCCACTCAGTTAAAAACATTTCCTTTACAATCCGTAATATCTCTAGTTAGGATATTTTGGAGTCTGAGTCTGCATGCCCAAATGAGTTTTCTTCCAAGTCCAATACAGTGACATCAGGTTACTCTCTTCCCATCAACAGAGGATTTAAGAGCTTCTGCCTGAGAGATCGGGGCAGACTTGGAATTGAAGGTTGACCGATTTCGCTTAAAATTGGTGCACAAAGTCGTTACGTGGACTTATATAATATGCCAAAGTTTCAGCTTCAATGACCATTTTTTAGCCGAGTTCTGGATATCAGCCCCTAAGGGGTCCCCAAAGGCTTATTTTCAGTGTAATTTTGGCCACTTTTCAATTTCTCTTTTAGCAACGTACAATTAATTTCAGACAAACCCAAAACCATATTTGTAATGCCCTATCCTTAGGCGCTTATGGGTGAAAACATTAGCTCACGAGAATTTTTTGATAGCCTATGGCTGTTATCACAACGTGGTCCTATTTGAAGCATATGGGAAGCAACCGGAAATGGCCTGTTTTTCAGATAGCATAATTTCCATGCCCATGTTTTACATCGTAAATTCTTAGTATCCCTGCAAAGTTCAGCTCTTAGTTTAGTAATATCAAGAAAAAAATACTAAGGGTGAGACTTTTTTACTACGAAACACTTTAAGAGAAATTACTTACTACGCACTTCCTGTCAAGGTCTGAATTACTTATGAGGAGAGATTTTTAGACACCAGCCGCACAATTAACAACCAATCAAAGTAAAGATTCCAAAGTAAATTATTTAAAGGAAATATATATTTCCAAACCATAAACTAGAAATTAATTTTCCTACTGACGGATTTGAAAACAAAGTGAGACAGGTAAACAACTTGTTGAGCTCGTCGTGTCATCAATATTCTTGGTCTTTCATCGATTATTCAAACATAATTAACAACCAATCAAACATAAACTATTTGAAACTTATGATGGAAAGAGCGTGGTTAAGGAAGAGGGCGTTAGTGACGTCGTGAAAAAGATGTATAAGTCTTCGAAAGGATNCAATCAATGATCCCAAAGTAAATTATTTAAAGGAAATATATATTTTCAAACCATAAACTAGAAACTTTCCCACTGACGGATTTGAAACTAAATTTTATGTAGCATTTGTATCCTGTACCCAGGGGACTGGAAGGTGAGGGGAAACTTTATACGTTGATAACAAGAAAAGTAATCAAAACAAAATGAAACAAGTTGTTTACTGAGTATATAAGTTAGGTGAGAAAAGCTGAGAAAAAAGCCTTATTTATGGGACTCTGCCTTGTTTCCATGGCAACCTTGCTTTGTCAGGCATAATTACCCTAAGTTTGACTTTTCTCATCTAATTCTCTNCTTAGTTTAGTAATAACAAGATAAAAATACTGAGGTTGAGGCTTTTTTACTACGAAACATTCTTAGAGAAGTTACCTACTACGTACTTCCTGTAAAACTCTTAATTTCTTTTTCGGAGAGATTTTTAGACACCAGCTGCACAATTAACCAACAATCAATGATCCCAAAGTAAATTATTTAAATGAAATATATATTTTCAAACCATAAACTAGAAATTTTCCTACTGACGGATTTGAAACTAAATTCTATGCATCATTTGTACCTAGTACCCAGGGGACTGGAAGGTGAGGGGAAACTTTATACGTTGATAACAAAAAAAGTAATCAAAATACAATGAAACAAGTTGTTTACTGAGTGTATAAGTTAGGTGCGAAAAGCTGAAAAAAAAGCCTTATTTATGGGACTCTGCCTTGTTTCCATGGCAACCTTGCTTTATCAGGCATAATTACCCTAAGTTTGACTTTTCTCATCTAATTCTCTGTTTTTTATTGACGTTTTCAAGGTTTCTTGGGACAAACATAGTTTTTTTGCACCTTTTAATTCCTTTAGTACCCTTTCTCTTCTCTTTTAATTTTGTTGTACCTGGCAAAAACGATATTTTGATTTCATGAAATAGTCATGAAATCCAGACTGGTGGGTTCAATATGACGGATGTTTTGAAATTTATGACATTCTAACGTCACGTGCCTTCATAGCTGACTATTCACCATGATTAGAATTTTAAGCCGTGAGTTTTT